TAACGTGTGTGTCAGTGTGCATATATGTGCGTGTCGTGTCCACGTTGTGTGATTTTTTGTACGAGAATGAAAAAAGTAAGACGATGATGATGATAAAGAGAGAGAGGGAAGGAACATGTAAAAGAAGGAGAGGAGAAGGAAAAGGAGGAGGAGGATTGGGAATAAGATTATGCGAAGGATGAGAATAAGCACATGTGATAATTAGGAGGGAATAGAGAGAGGAGGAAGAAGGGAAAAAGGAAAAGGAAATATATAAAGGAAATAAAAGAAGATGAAGGAAGACACACAAGGAGGAGGAGAAAAACCGAGAGAGAGAGAGAGAGAGAGAGAGAGAGAGAGAGAGAGAGAGAGAGAGAGAGAGAGAGAGAGAGAGAGAGAGAGAGAGAGAGAGAGAGAGAGAGAGAGAGAGAGAGAGAGAGAGAGAGAGAGAGAGAGAGAGAGAGAGAGAGAGAGAGAGAGAGAGAGAGAGAGAGAGAGAGAGAGAGAACGAACAGGGGGAATTAACGAAATATGAAAACAAGGGAACGAAGAAGATGAAACACACACATAAACAAATAAAGAAAAGGAAGAGAGAGAAGGGAAAAAGCAGGAAACATAATAAACGGGAAGAGAAAAAAGAAAGAAAAACAAGGAAAAAAAACAAAAGAAATAATAAGAAGAAAGAAAATAAAAAGCGGAGAGAGACACAGAAAACAAGACAAAAGAGCTAATAAGACGAAGAAAGAAAAAAAAAAGACAAAAGAAAAATAATATGAAATTAAGAAGGAAAGGAGAAGAAAGACAAGGAAAAATACGAAGTGAAGAAGAAGGAAAAGAAGAAGACCGAGAAGAGAAATAAGACAAATGGGAGGGAAGGGCGTTTGAGAAAGGAGAGAGGAGGAGAGGCAAATAGATCTTGGCGGGGGGGGGGGGGGCGTCGAGGAGGGGAGAGGGGAGAGGAGGAGGAGAGGGGGAGGTGGTGAAGGGTCAGGGGAGAGGGAGGGAAGAAAGGAGGTGGCGAGAGGTGGCGAGACGGGAGAGGAGGAGAGGGAGGGGAGAGGGGTGGAGACGGGAGAAGAAGGGAGCGTGAGAGGGGAGAGGGAGAGGGGAGAAGGGAGGGAGGAGAGGGGAGGAGACGGGAGAGGAAGGGAGTGTGAGAGGGAGAGGGAGGAGGGGAGACGAGAGGTGGCGAGAGGGGATAGGAGAAAGGGGAGGAGAAGGAGAGGGAG